TTCTAGTTTTTTGTTTTTTTTTTCTTCTTCTTTTTTTAGAGGTGTGAAGTTCTCAAAAAGTCACTCATTTAACAAGAAGTCGAAACCATGAATAGTCCTGGTTTAGACGCAGTTTAGACCTGGTTTAGTTCTGGTCAAGTCCAAATTTAAACCTGGGTTGATCTCGACTATAGACCTGTTTAGACCTGCTGTAGTCCTTTTGGTTTAGTCCGAGTTTAGTCCCGGTGCAGTCCTGGTTTAGACCTGGTCCAGTCCTGGTTTAGACCTGGTCCAGTCCTGGTTTAGACTTGGTCCAGTCCTGGTTTAGACCTGGTCCAGTCCTGGTTTAGACCTGGTCCAGTCCTGGTTTAGACTTGGTCCAGTCCTGGTTTAGACCTGGTCCAGTCCTGATTTAGTCTTGGTCCAGTCCTGGTTTAGTTCTGATCCAGTCCTGGTTTAGTCCTGTTCAGTCCTGGTTTAGTCCTGGTTTAGTCCTGGTCCAGTCCTGGTCCAGTTCTGGTTTAGTCCTGGTCCAGTCCTGGTTTAGTCCTGGTCCAGTCCTGATTTAGTCCTGGTCCAGTCCTGGTCCAGTCCTGGTTTAGTCCTGGTCCAGTCCTGGTTTAGTCCTGGTTTAGTCCTGGTCCAGTCCTGGTTTAGTCATGTTTACATTTTTACTTTTTTTTAGGTAGGGCTGGGTTATTCCTAGACTAGTTCAGACGAGTTTGATCCTGGTCTAGTCCAGCTTTAGTCCCAGTTTAGACCTGGTCAAGAAGCGGTTCACTTCTGATGTACTTCTGATGGTTTAGTTCTTGTTTAGTCCTGGTTTAGTTCTGGTCGAGTTCTGGTTTATACGTGACTGATTCTAGGAATGTCATTTTTCAGTCAGTGGTTTAAGTCCTGGTCCTGGTCCTTCTTTGGTCCTGGTTTAGTTCTTGTTTGGTCCTGGTTAAGTCCTTGTTCAGTCCTGGTTTAGTCCTTGTTTAGTCCTGGTTTAGTTCTTGTTTAGTCCTGGTTCAGTCCTGGTTTAGTCCTTGTTTAGTCCTGGTTCAGTTCTTGTTTAGTCCTGGTTTAGTCCTTGTTTAGTCCTGGTTTAGTTCTTGTTTAGTCCTGGTTCAGTTCTTGTTTAGTCCTGGTTTAGTCCTGGTTCAGTCCTGGTTTAGTCCTGGTTTAGTTCTTGTTTAGTCCTGGTTCAGTCCTTGTTTAGTCCTGGTTTAGTCCTTGTTTAGTCCTGGTTCAGTCTTGTTTAGTCCTGGTTTAGTCCTTGTTTAGTCCTGGTTCAGTTCTTGTTTAGTCCTGGTTCAGTCCTTGTTTAGTCCTGGTTTCAGTCCTTGTTTAGTCCTGGTTCAGTCCTTGTTTAGTCCTGGTTTAGTCCTTGTTTAGTCCTGGTTCAGTCCTTGTTTAGTCCTGGTTCAGTTCTTGTTTAGTCCCACTTCAGGCCTGTTGAGCTTTAGTTTTGGTTCAGTGCACGTTAACCCCAATTTGGTTTAGTCCTGGTCAAGTCCTGGTTTCAGTTCTGGTTTAGTCATTGATTAGTCATTAGTTTAGACCAAATTCAATATTCAAATTCATTTCTGGTTCAGACATGACTCAGTCCTGGTTTAGACCTGATTTAGATCTGGTTTAGTCCTGGGTTAGTTCTGGTTCAGTCCTGTTTTAGTCCTGGTTTAGTCCTTGTTTAGACCTGGTTTAGTCCTGGTTTAGTTCTGGTTTAGTTCTGGTTTAGTCCTGGTTTAGTTCTGGTTTAGTCCTGGTTTAGTCCTGGTTTAGTTCTGGTTTAGTCCTGGTTTAGACCTTGTTTAGTCCTGGTTTAGTCCTGGTTTAGTCCTGGTTTAGTTCTGGTTTAGTTCTAGTTTAGACCTTGTTTAGTCCTGGTTTAGTTCTGGTTTAGTTCTGGTTTAGTCCTGGTTTAGTTCTGGTTTAGTTCTAGTTTAGACCTTGTTTAGTCCTGGTTTAGTTCTGGTTTAGTTCTGGTTTAGTCCTGGTTTAGTTCTGGTTTAGTTTACCTGTTTAGTCCTGGTTTAGTGGTTTAATTCTGGTTTAGTCCTGGTTTAGTCCTGGTTTAGTTCTGGTTTAGTTCTAGTTTAGACCTTGTTTAGTTCTGGTTTAGTCCTGGTTTAGTTCTGGTTTAGTTCTGGTTTAGTCCTGGTTTAGTTCTGGTTTAGTCCTTGTTTAGTTCTGGTTTAGTCCTGGTTTAATTCTGGTTTAGTCCTGGTTTAGTTCTGGTTTAGTTCTTACATGAGTCAAATCTACTATAATTGCTTTTCATTGCCTCAGGTCGGACCACGGAAAAAGTTAGCAACGAAGGGGGGTTAGTTTGTTAACTTATCAAATAACGCGACGTATCTCTCTTTTTACTCCAAAATCCAAACCAAAACTTTTTCAAAAATTTACATAAACTTAATTAAGTGACAAAATTTGAAAAACAGAGAAAATATTAGAGTAATTAAAATGTTAAAGTAGTTGTGTCTCCCCTTGTTTGGAGTTGGTACGGTCCGTTTACTCCTCTAGTAGTTGCACAGTGAAGCTCCGCGTTATAAAGCCTTAGGGACGCTTCTGCTTCACTTTGCTGCACTTTTTCGCCTCTTTTTGCAAAAACAACTCTTCAAAAACGCTCGAAGGACTCTAACAACCTTCTCCACACCTTCTGAACATCACTGAGACTCCAAACGATGCATGTGAGTACGAGTTTTATGCGCATTTGTAACTTTTATTCGCCGATTTGTGCACAGTTTTGGGCTTGTTTGGCAGTTTTGCAGTGATGTTTTTGGTTAAATAAAACTACAAAACGTGCGTGCATGCTAGCTGATGACATGTTTCGCATTAATACAGTGACTCAAAGGCTATTTCCTCTGTAAATTTGCTGAATGCGTTAGATTTGCCACTTTTTGTCATGTTTTTGTACCAGAAATGCAGCTCTTTTGTGTTCTGTGGAGTGGGCTTACAATATAAAACCTTACAAACTACTGTAAAGCCTAAATAAAAATAATTTAACACCATATTTATGCCTCAAAATCCTCAGAATGGTGAAATATGCCACTATTCTTTTTTAAAATAGTCATTTTAATATTAATTTATTGCCAAACTTCAATATTTTTTGTGTGTTCGATGAAAATAATTGGAGTATTTTTTATTTTATTTCATTGTTTGTCATTTCAAACTCACAAAAATGTACAGTTGGAAAAATAGGAAGTGTATTTATAAATTAACATGAAGTCCAATTTGATTATAACCGCACAATACAACAAAACAACAGAGTAAAAATTCAGAAATTATTATTACAATATTAAAAGTAACGTCTTCAGTAAATGTGTGACTTTCAATGTGTGATTTAACTCAACAGAAACCGAAAATAATCGTTTTTATTGCACCATAAATTAGCAATGATTAAAGGAGAGAGGTGGAGTTGGTTTCACTTTTGAATCTTCGCACAAATAATTTAAATTTTGACATTTTCGTGACATTTTTTGCATCTGTTTTTACATTAAGTGAGTGTGTACATAGAGACTGAGCTCACGTGTTTGTAGTATTAGTTAAAGTTAGTTAAAGATGCACTGTGTAACTTTTCCGGCGGCTCGTTTCCATGGAGATATCATCGTTTTAATCTGAAAGGTTTCACAGTACGGCATTAAACTCGAATCTGTGCTGCATTTATTCAATTACAGATGATTTTAGAGCTCAAAAATACTTTGAAAAACTTGCATTTCTACAGTGAGTGGCTCGCCTCTCCACAGATGTGACCTGTAACATGGCCTGGAGGCATCGTGGGCTTGTCTCAGAGGAATTACATAAGTTTAATGCCATGCTGTGGAACATTCTAGACCAGGGGTGTCAAACTCAAACTCACAGAGGCCAAAATAAAAAAAACTAGGACTAAGTCGTGGGACAAACTAAATATTTATTAGAAACATCTGCATGTTTTCTCTTTTTTCGAGATCTGTAATGTTAAACTTTTTCTTATTCAAATAAATGTTTAACAATAGTTTTACTTAAACACTGAATCTAAAACAAGCAGACTGTATTTTCTGCACTATAGGCGCTCTGGATTATAAGGCGTCATTGAATGGTCTATTTTTGAACTTTTTTCACATTTCCACATTTAAACCACTCTGGACTAGGGACGGGCATTCCATGAAATTTTCTTAATCGATCGTCGGAAGAATTAACGATCGATTATCGATTAATCGTTAACGATTTTATATTAAAATGATCATCATTATTATTACTATCTACACTAATCTGCATAAATAACAAAACAAAAACAAATCTGGTCACACTGACCTGTATTCACCTGAGTCATGTCTTTTAATCCGACAGAAATTGAATCACATCAGTGACACAAGAGCTGGAGTTTTATCTTCACTTAGTTTATGTAAATTAGTGATGTGGTTTTAAGTTTTGTTTCTGTGAGATTTGAACAAAACTGAATTAAACACATTATAATGTCAAACGGGCTGATGTGGCTCTAGAGTCGTTATGTTTATATGTCATAAAGTTGAATTTATTTATGCAGATTAGTGCAGATAGTAATAATAATGATGATCATTTTAATATAAAATTATAATGATTAATCAATAATCGATGATTAATCAATAATCGATCGTTAATTCTTCCGACAATCGATTAAGAAAATTTCATCGAATGTCCATCCCTAGTCTGTTTTACTCCTGATGCTCCTGACTACAGGAGCCGTGATGCTGCAAGTGGAGCGGCTTTGTAATTTACTAAAGTCGTACTAAGACGCCCCAATAACTTCATATATAAGATGCTCTGGATTATAAGGCACACAGTCGTTTTTTTTATTAAATTAAAGGCTTTTAAGTGCACCCTATACTGCGGAAAATACGGTAAAATAATAACAGCATTTTTAATAAATAATGTCTCTATAGTCGATCTGTGTGCGGTGGAGCAGCTCTAATACAGATTTGATATTATCTCACGGGCCAAATATAATTATATCACGGGCTGAATTTGGCCCCCGGGCCTGAGTTTGACGTGTCTGTTCTAGACAAAGCATTAACATTTCCACCGGAAAAGCTGCACAATGCACCTTTAAGTGGAGCGTCTGTCAAACCCTTTTCTCCATGGAGATGCTCTCGCTTTGTCTGGAATGTCCCACAGTATGGCATTAGAATGATCTGTTTCCATGGAGACAAGACCACGATGCCTCCAGGCCATGTTACAGGTCAGATCTGTGGAGAGGCGAGCTCGCTTTGCATATGGCATTAAAACTTTCTATTAAGTCTGTTGAATTAATTGAATTTTGATTGCGATTTCGAAACAATTTTTATTTGGGGATTTTTAAAATATAAATAAGTATATTTATTTAGTTTTTTAAATATAAATTGTAGAACAGTTGGAGATATAGTTTATTTTGGAGACATTTATGCTTTTCTATTTCATGTTCAAAGTTTATTTTATTCATTTTATGTTTTATACTTCACAAAACTGTTCTAAGGTTCATATTTGTAGCCCATATTTATTTTCAGTTTGAAAGTTTTGCGTAAATTATCAATGACAAATTGTTGTTTTTTTTAGAGAGAAATGCTGAATAAATGCATCGTGTAACTAAAAAATAATCGTTTGAATTATCGTGATTTCAGAATTGACCAAAATAATCATGATTTTTTCCGCAATCGAGCAGCTCTGTGATCAGTACTTGAATACATTTTACACTTTCAGTCATTTCAGCGAACTTTAAAGTAACACTGAGTAACTTTTCTGAGGGTTTGTCACATGACATGCCACACTGTGACCGGGCTCGCCTCTCCACAGATCCGACCTGCGGCACCACCAACTCGACTGGAGATACATTAGAAACATTAACATAAATCAGAAAATTGCATAATATTGGTTCTTTAAAGTGAACTATTTCTGTTTTTCTCGTTTTTTTAAGTTGTAAAAATCAGAAACAGACTCAGAGTTTGTTTGAACGTGTAATTTTCCCTCAGGTTGGAGTTTTTTTTTTTACTTCTCTGCACGTTTCCTTCACCTCTGTGTTTGATTTAAAGCCTCCGTGTAACATTCTGTGAACTCACGACACACACTTTACAACTTTTTTACTCTTTTTCTTTGTTTTTTTTTTTTTTTTTGTCTGATTTTATTTATTTATTCCTGATCTTTGCCTTTGGGGTTTGGAGAGAGAGAAAGAAGAAGAGAGAAAAGAGAAAGAGAAAGAGAGAGGAGGACTTGTTTAAACGAGTCTGAGGAGGAGAAGAGCTCAACTTTCAGCCTTTTGAACGAAGGAAACTGAGAATGGAGAGAAGAGAAAGAGAGAGAGAGAGAGAGAGGAAGGGAGAGAAGAGAAGAAGAGAAAGAGGAGAGAGGGAGAGAAGGGAGGGAGAGGGAATGAAGAAGAAGAGAGGAAGAGAAGAGAGGGAGGGAGAAGAGGAAAAGAGAGGGAGGGAGAGAAGAAGAGAAGGAGGGAGAGAGGGAGGGAGAGAAAAAGTGAAGAGACGGAGAGAAGAGAGTGTGGGAGAGAAGGAGAGAAGAAAGAGGGAAAGAGGAGGAAGAAGAGAGGGAGAGAAGGAGAGAGGGAGAGAGAGAGAGGAAGAGAGAGAGAGAAAAAGAGAGGGAGAGAGAGAGAGAGAGAAGAGAGAAGAGAGAGGGAGGGAGAGAGAAGAAGAGAGGAGAGGGAGAGAGAGGGAGGGAGAGAGAAGAAGAGAGGGAGAGAGAGGAGGGAGGGAGAAAGAAGAGAGGAGGGAGGGAGGGAGAGAGAGAGAGGAGAGAGAGAAGAAGAAGAGAGGGAGGAGAGAGAGAAGAGAAGGAGAGAGGAGAGGAGAGAGAGGGAGAGGGAGAGAGAGAAGAAAGAGAAGGAGGGAGGGAGAGAGAAGAGAAGAGAGAGAGGGAGGGAGGGAGAGAGAGAGAGGGGAGAGAGAGAAGAAAGGAGAGGAGGGAGAGAAGAGAGGAGAGGGAGAGAAGGAGAAGAGGAAGGAGAAGGGGAGGGAGAGAAGAGAAAAGAGAGGGAGGGAGAGAGAGAAGAGAGAGGAGAGAAGAGAGGGAGAGAGAGAAGAGAAGGAGAGGAGGAGGGAGGAGAGAAAGAAGAGAGAGAGAGGAGAGAAGAAGAGAAGAGAGAGGAGAGAGGAGAGAGAGGAGAGGGAGAGAGAGAAGAGAAGGAGAGAGGGAGGGAGAGAAGAAAAGAGAGGGAGGGAGAGAGAGAAGAGAGGGAGAGAGAGAAGAAGAGAGGGAGAGAGAGGAGGGAGGGAGAAAAGAAGAGAGAGGGAAGAAGAGAGAGAAAGAGGGAGGGAGAGAACAAGAGAAGAAAGGGAGGGAGGGAAAGAAGAAAGGGAGGGAGGGAGGAGGAAGAAAGGGGGAGCAAACAGATAGAGGTGAGGTGAAGAGAGAAAGAAAGAGAAAGGAGAGAGGATGAAGTGAGGTGAAAAAAGAACAGAGGTGAGAGATTTGGGCAGTAAAATATTAAATCAACTGTGATCATTTTTACACTGAAACAACATGATTCTGTGAGAAAAACAAAGTATTTAAAAACAATGGACTAAATATTCAGATTTTACTCTCACAATAGTCAAAGTATTTCATGTGTTTAATGAGTAAATTCTACTAGAAAATGACCAGTGTGTTTGAAATATTTTACAGTCGCTGCTCAAACCCACAAATACTAACAGAGGATTAGTCTCTGCGCTCGGCGACTGTAGGACGAGTGTTTTGATCTGAAGGTTGG